TCGATATAAATTAACTTCATTACTTTTTATTATACAAAAATTGTGTATTTTTAAATAAAATTAATATAATTAATTCAATATTTATTTTATTTTATTCAATTTTTTCGCATACTGTGCGCATTCAATTTTTTTAATTAAATCTTTCAATATTTTTTTCCTTAAATATTTATAATTATTAGTGTATTCACTAAAAAAAACATTTGATAGTGTGATATTATTATATGCATTCTTCTTTTATCTAATATTTATACTCCTTTCAATTTGAGCAAGAAAAATTTATTAGAAATTTTTTTATAAATTAGTCACATGAAAAAATAATGTAAATACTACAATATTTATGATTACTATTATTAACAGTAATAGTACAACATTATCACAATTATCATAATTTTATGAAAATATCAAGGATCACAATGAAACATAAGAATTGATATTCTTTTAGCGACATAACTTAAACTACAATGAAATTAAAACAAAAAATAAATTAATATTAAAAAATAAATAGAAAATTTTGAAAAAGTAAAATGATAAATGGATCTCGAGATGGATGTCGTCAATAGGTTTCTAACAATGTTTGATGTGTATTGCTATTATGTTTTCATTATAACCGGTTCAAAAGAATATGAAGATGTACAAATAATCAAAACATGAAAAATATTTATGTTCATTATAATTTTTACCTAATTTTTTTCTTCTTCGAGGGTAGATGAATTGTGACAATCTATTTCAAAAAAGACTATTTAAATCGCTTCAAACATAACTCATCCCAAATTCAAAGCCTTCAATCTTTTTTCAAAAAATATTTACTTTGCTAAAAAATAATTTCTCGTCTATGAATTGGATTTTAAAGCACGGAAACTTTTTAGAAAAAAAAAACCATAAAATTAATGTCATATATTCACAAACATAAAAGAATTGGAGAATAAAGAGAAAAAAAAATATTGTCATGTGCCCTCACTCACCTTCAAAGTAAGTCGAAAAAGATTAAAAAAAAAAAAAACTAGAAAAATCCAATTAACTTTCTCTTTTAAATGGGAAAACGATTAGGAGTCGTTACACGATCATACGACTCATATTCCATTGTTGATTCATCCTACTATAACGTTTATGACTACAATAAAATCATTAATATATGAAAAATGGAAGGACTAGCTTAATGGGCAATGAAAATATTATTTAGGAGGGAGTTATTGAAAGGAATAAATATTTAGGACATATTCATCGGAGAGAATTATTGAAGGGAGGTTTTATATGTACAGAACGTAGTAGTTATTACCATTGATTTTATACATTTTGTTTCAGTAAATTGAGTAATACATATATTTTATTTTTATAATAATAACATTTATATAGAAAAAGTTTTGGAGGAAAAGGAGTTATTACAAAACTTCTTCCTTTTATATTATTATAGTTGTTTGATAAAATAAAAGTATTTAAAATAAAAATAAATAAATTTTAAATAATATTTTTGAGAGAAAAATAATTAATTTAAACATATTATTATTAAAAAATATGCATGTATACATTTTATTTAATTTTAAAATTAATAAATAAATTTATTTTCTTATGCTTATATTTTATATTGTATATAATATTACTACACGAGTTAATTTTTTTAATTCTTATTTAATGTTTAATACAGTTAAAAATATACACAACTAAAAAATATTCATGCCAATAAAATATTAGCATTGTGAGACTCTTAATCCTTATTTAGTCATGTTTTAGAAGCTTTTATTTAATAATAAAGATATTGTAGTATTTTCGCTTTTTGACCTAAAAGGTGTTTATTATAAAAAAAAATTATGCAAATGAGATTATTTTTAAACTATTTTAAAAAAAGGGATAATTAATGAGGGTATCGCTGGTCAACATAAAGTCACCTCTTATCATATATA